GGAAATTATAACTGGAGATTGAAAACTTCAATGAAAACAATTGATTGTGAATATGCGAGCTTTTTTTTTTTTTGTTTTTTTGATTAGATTAGCAACAGAAAAGTTAAATTTTATTAAAGCTCATGGCCAAAAAGAAGAGAGGATAAGGCATCCTCAACAAGAAAAAAGAAAGAATAAGACAACCAAAAAGAAAATCAAACCAAAAGACAACCATCTACAAACTATATGAAACAAACCGACACCCAATCTGAAGCAATCAAAAAAAGAGGAATCCCTCGGAACACAGGACTTGCCGAGGCCCAAAAAAGACGCCAAGTATCTCACTCTATTCCATAAATAATCTATATCCTTAATTTCTCCTTCGAAGATATGCCCATTCGTTTCCAACCAAATGACCCAGAAGATTGCAAAGACTACACAACACAACTCCAAAGAACTTTAGCCCTCTTTGACCTTCCAAAAACTTGAAAATCAAATAATAGCATTTGAGCAACTCCTTTAGGAGCCACCCACTGTCCATTGTCCAAACCAAACACCCTATTCCACAAAAGTCCTGCCACCGAACAGTGCAAAAAAATATGATCCAGAGATTCTCCACTTTTGCAACACATTATGCACCATTGAGGATTAAGAAACCATGAAGGTCTCCTCTTTTGCAATGAATCATTTGTCAAAGTGCCCCCATGAACCAAGATCTACACGAACACTTTCACCTTAAGAGGAGCACATGCCTTCTAAATCTTTTTGTGAAACAAAAACTGAGGTACATGCGGAATATCAATGATTTTGTCCAGAAAGGATGTACACGTAAAAGAGCCCGATGAATGAATATTCCAAAATCACCGATCTTCCAAATTTGGAGATAAAGAAATATTTTCAAGTCTTGACAATAAAGATATCAACTCAGAAAAAAAATTAAAATTCCACGAACAAGGAGCCAACGAAGAAATAGCCACAGACGCAACAGAACAATTATGAGAATGAGAAACTCTATACAGAAATGGATAGAACTCAGCAAAGGACAAAGAACCCACCCAAACATCCTCCCAAAATCTAACCGTGTCCCTCTTACCCACCCTCACAAAAATGAATTGGGACCAAATTGGATAAATATGAGAAATAGACCTCCACCCCTAGAAACCACTTGAGAGTCTCTACCATTAACATGCAACCCATATTTACTTTTGATAACTGCATGCCATAATGAACCACGCTCAATTGGGAATCTCCATATCCACTTGCCCAATAAAGCCATGTTTCTAGCCACTATGTTACCAACTGCCAAGCCCCTCCTTCTCCTTTTGTAATAACACCGTTTCCCATTTCACCAAATGATCCTTCCTTCCTTCATCCTTCCCTTCCCACAGAAAATCCGTCATTAGCTTTTATATGGATTTTGCTACTTTGACCGGAATCTTGAACAAAGACATGAAATAAATAGGAATCCCACTTAGCACTATCTTAACCAAGTGTACCTACCCCCATGGGACAAGAAGGCCCTACTCCACCCTTCTAACCTCTTACCTATCCTTTCCACCATTGGATTCCAAAACATTTCGCCTCTTGGGTTACCTCCTAGTGGGAGACCTAAATACTTCATAGGAAATGTCTCAATCCTGCAACCAAGTAAGTCGGCCACACTCTAAATCAGTCTTGAATCAGTATTAATACTCGCTGCCCTACTCTTTTCTAAATTAACCTTAAGCCCTGAAAGTGCCCCAAAAAGCCTTACCACTGAAAAAAGGTTTGTCATTTGGCACTCATCCCCCGTAGAGAAGAAAATAGTGTCATCCGCAAATTGCAGATGCGACACACTAATCCTATCTCTACCGATCTGTAAGCCTTCAAACAGGCCTACTTCTTTAGCTCTGTAAACCATCCTACCTAACACATCCACCACCAAAATGAATAGAAAATGAGATAAAAGGCATCCCTGTCTCAACCCTCGCGAGGCCTTAAAACATTTCCTTGATTTACCATTAACTATCACCGACATATTACAAGACACCAAACATCCCCTAATTCAAGATCTCCATCTCACACCGTACCCTTTCTTGTTTATCACGAAATCCAAAAAACGCCAATCTACATGATCATACGCTTTCTCAAAATCTGCCTTAAACACAAGGCCTACCTTCGCCGACTTCCGACACTCCTCTACCATCTCATTTGCCACCAGAACCACATCTAGAATCTGTCTACCTTGCACAAAAGCCCCCTGTGTCCGAGAAATTGTATTCCCTAAAGAACATCTCAACCTTTTTGACATTACCTTACCCAAAAGAAGAGTGTGACCTATAGAAGTAAACTTTGAATTTCAGTGGGCATAACGATAATTTTCATTAAATACCAGTACGACATCATAGCAATTATCCATATAAAAGGCCATGTTCAAGCATAGCTGACTTACTTGATGAGAAAAAGGTTCAATATCAAATATAATTTAAAAGAAAAAGGGGTGGGGGTGGGGGGCTCAATATCATAGAGTTTCTAGTGGGCCCAAAATGCATCACTTAATGATTGTTTTATGAATGACTTTCTTGGTCACATTCTATTCACTTTCTTATAGTCAGTGTTTTCTGATGTTAAGGCTACTGTATAATTTGATGTGTATAGTTGTAGAGGGGTTTCCATCATCTGTAGTAGTGGCAAATAAAGAACATAGATATTATACTCAGTGTTTTGTGATGTGAAGGCTACTCTATAATTTGATGTGTGTAGTAGTAAAGGGGTTTCCATAATCTGTATTAGTGGTGAGTAAAGCACATGGATAGCACGTAATGTTACAACAAGATCATATCTTATTGGGGCTAGGTAAACCTGCACATATCCATTTTGGCTGATAATCTGTACTTGCTTGTAGCCTGACCATAAAGTCCTTTATTTGAAATGATCCCATTTCATTGTCAAATGCTGGTTGACACCACAAGTATTATGTAAGTGAATGTGTTGGGGTTGCCCTATCCTGATATGTGGATTCACTCCCAGAGAGTGATGGTATTCATCTCGCGCTGTATATATCAACTTTTGCATCACCAGTGAATGGCTCATAGTTGTCTGACACTGTTGTTGCTCTCTATCCTCCATTACCTCCTCTTCTGTTCCATGCTATCTTTCTTTTGATTGTCTCTCAGTCTCTTGATCTCCTCCTCACCTTGCACATGTCAGTGGTAATGATCTTATGACTTCGATGTTGCCCTGTTGTATGAAGGCTCATCTTTTGAGCTGCTATAGCAACTTGTGAATAATCTTGTTCATGTCTGGGATCCTAATCCACTGATGTATTCTCATCCTGCTAATAGCCCAGTTTGCCTAGAAATTCCAAAGGTGATTGGCAGCACTATCTCCATCATTATCCTTTTATCACAATTTATATCAGTCATTATCCCTGTGTACTCTTATTGTACCTTATTTTTCTCTTAATAAATTTCATTTTTGTTGTTGACCCAAAAAAAAAAAAAGAAAAGAAAAGAAAAAAAAAAATCTGTGTATCTTTTTGTAAGCTAATTATTCTCATATATCATCAACCAATTACCTGCCGTTATTAAGTGCACACAACACAACATATAACTTTACAGTAGTGTCTTTGTAGGAATTAGTTACAATATGATTCCTAATATTTTTGTTGTTCATGGCAACGACAGACAATTATGTCATTTGTCCTCTTTCATATCAAATCGTTTTAGTTTGGAAAGCAAAATCTTTCCATTAAACAGTTTCAGGGGAATACAGAGTAATCATTAGCCTCACCTCATTCTTGAAATGACTTCTTCCAGGAAAATTTTGGTTTTCCCTTTAAGATTTATGGACAGTATCTAGTATACAAGAATCCTCCATGTACCTTTGTATTGGTAGTCTGGTTCAAACCACCAACTCCTTTTTAGGTCAAGTCTAATGTAATTAGTCTATGTCCAGAGTAAGAAGGAATGATTAAATGCTTTACATGTCGCATGTGTAGGGAGCATCCATGATCTATCATGTGTGATGGTACCATTTCAATGTGTATATATTTCATAAAAAATACATGTATATACATTTCCCATGTTGCAGTTTTTTTCCCCCGAATTTATGTTAGCATCTATGTTGCACGGACACGAAACACGATACGGACACGCAGACACGCAAAATTTTAGAAAATGGGGGACACGACACGCTGGGAACACGTTTAATAAATATAATTTTATTTATTTATTATATATCTATAATTTAAAAAAAAAATCATTGGTTCCTATAAAATTACAATAATAATAAAATTATTAAACAATTTACCTAAATTTTTTAATAAAAATTGATTTTTTTCTTCAAATAAAAATAATTTGTTTTATAAATTTCAATAAAAACATGGATATAAATAAATAAAAAAAAGAAAAGAAAGGAAGGAAAAGAGACAGAAAAGGGAGAGAAACAGAAAAGGAAGGAGAGAGACAGTATAAACAAAATCAGAGGAGAGAAGAAGACAGAAGACAGAAGATGAAGAGGAGAAGAAGAACATAGAAGAAGACGAAGAGAAGAAGAAGAACATAGAAGACCAAGTCGAAACAGGTTAGGTTTTCTTCTCTCTTTCCTCTCTCTTTGCTCTCTTCCCTTGATTTGTCTCCCTCTCTCTCCCATCGATCCGTCTTTGGCTCTCTCTCTGTCTCCTCTCCAACGGGTCTAGAGCTTCTTCGATCCACACCGTGTCTGAAACGTGGCATCGCGTGTCCGACTATAAAAATTTCAAAAAAAGAATGAGACACGTAAGGGAGAGTGTCGAACATGTGCCACAACATGTCTGATGGGTGTCCATGTCCGACACGTGTCTGACACTTGTATGCAGGCTTGAGGGACGTGTCCGTGCTTCATAGGTTAGCATCAACCTTTTATTTAAAAGGGGAAAAAAACTTATTTTGCTGCCAAAGTATATGGTGATTTGTCTATGGCAGTATTCTTGGCATAAAAGTGAGATTTTGCATATACACCTACCTTTCATACATGAAGTGAGTTGATCATCTATGATGTAGGCAGGAAGTCTCACATCTTCCAATTCATGAAGTAATTTTTTCTACTGTTGACAAGCCAAAGCTTCTTAGTCAGGTAACTTTTTTGGAAGATTTGTTTATAGAAAAATAATTAAATTTGTGTTCTTTCTCTGATTGTATTTCTCAGTTTACATCTCTAAGAATATTATCATTCTTGACTAATTGATGTTTGATCAAAGGTGTTCAAAGTCTTGTATGCGTTTTTATGTTAATGTCCATGATCATACTTCATGTTTTCTGTGATCTGATTTTAATCTGGAATCACATGCAAAAAATCTAAAACTGATGTCATGAATTGGTACCTTGGTGCCTGACCCCTCTGTTGCCTACAAACCAAAGCACATGCTTTTATGTGGTAGAGAAAGCTCCATAAGTTGAGGCTTAGGTGGAAGGTTTGTCAATGACATTTGCTCAAGGCTTCGAAAAGCAGTTGTAGTCACCGTAACGGTTACGGTGAAGTGGTTGCGGGGTGTAAAGGCCGTAGCGTAACAGTTACGGTAACCGAAACCGTGAATTTTTAAAATTTTTGCACAATTTGAAATTTTTTTTATTGATACACTTATTTTTTTTTTTTCAAAATCACATTTATTAGAATTTAAAATAGATTTTGATCAATATTTGTTAAATTTTAAGTATGATCCAATATATTTCATATTTTTAAATCACTATAAAAGAGACTTTTTACATTTTATTTCAATAGTTAATAACTTTAAGAATAATTGATTTCAAATGTCTATAAAATTATTTTTGACTAATACCTGAACTAACTAAATAAAAAAATATTTACAATTATTAAATGAAATGATTATAAAAAAAATTGTGCCATAAACAAAAATATTTTTAAGCTAATGATTTTTTTTAAATAACATTTTTTTAGACAACACTTTATAGCTAACTAAATTAAATTATTTACAATTAAGTATTAAATAAAATGATTATAAAAATAAATACAACCATTGTTTATATATTTTTTATTTTACATGCTAATGTAATAAAATAAAAATTAAAAAATAAATTATAAAGAAAAAAAGAATTCATACAAAATTTTTTCTTTGAGTTCAGATGACTTGAGTATTCGTTATTTTTTTTGTGAGTTTTGTTTTTTTGGAAAGGAAGCTATTTAAAATATTGTAACGGTGTGTACCTTGCCGCTACGGTACTGTTACGGCTGTTACGTGACATCGAAACGGCCGTTACACATGTGAATTTTCGTCACACCACAAAAGCAGGTGTAACGAGTAGCACTTACCACCGCAACCGTTACTTAACGGTCACAACCGTTATGTAACACCGCTTTTTAAAACCTTGATTTGCTTCTTGTTGGTCAATAGACTCAATACTAGCTTATTTATGTGTATTTCTTCTGTTAGGAATTTTGTGCCAATTTTTATATGTTTCAAATGCACTTTGCATTCTTTCGTGGAATTGTGGCATTCACAATTCAAGTTACCCAACAATCTGAGTACGCAATACATATCTTTTCTATACAATCTGATATGAATTGTATGATACGTGGTGTGGCGAGTATGCGATACGTATGCATTTCCATATGATACAATATGTTTCGTGTATTGTAAGATTTTGACAACACTGGTGGTAGCAAATGGGTTCATTGTTTCCGCTTTGCATTTCTTTCAGGTTTCAGTACTGTTAAATGAGAAGTCTGGAATCTTATAGTCAGAACTTTGATACGTTTGTGTCAAAATTTGTGTTTATTTGGAAGCAGATTCTAGTTAAAGCCCTTTATCAAGCCATTAGATGAAAATTTCATGCCATTTTGTGGATGATGACTGTGTTTTCATATATAGATTTCTCACATCACTTCATTAGGGGTGTTGACGTTATCATCCATTTGGTAGACTTATCTTTTCTTTTGTTCTTTTTTTTTTTATTTTTTACACTTAGACTGTTGACTTCTAACTCTGTCCCATTTTGTTCTAGCTTTCTGCTTTGCTTTCTGACATAGGACTTAACATCCGTGAGGCGCACGTGTTCTCAACTACTGACGGTTATTCTTTGGATGTATTTGTGGTGGATGGATGGCCTGTTGAGGTATTTCTTAAATTCTTTTGTAACATCTTTATACTAATACTCTATGAAACACAAACACGGACACGCGACATGGACACAACACGGGACATGGACACGACACGGACACGGACACGCAAATACGCAAATTTTCAAAAAATAGGAGACACGACACGCCGGGGACACGTTCAATATATATAATTAATTTTATTTATTACATGTCATAAAATTATTAAAAAAAATTTATTTATTTTATTTAATTTTATTTTAATAAAAAAGTAATTAATTTTATTTACTATATGTCATAATTATTTATTATATTATAGTTTAATACCTATTATTCAAATGAACAAAACTAATCAAATTTTTTTTTTACATAAAATGGAATTAGAAAAAGAAAAAAGGAGAGAGACAGATGTTACACTGGCCATTTAAATGAAAAGAAAAATAAAATAAAAGTTCAACTTAAAGGGGAGAGAGAGAGAGAGAGAGAGAGAGAGAGAGAGAGAGAGAAGATTGGAGAAGAAGATTGAGAAAGAGAGAGACACAACAATTGAGATCGAGAGAGAAGATCGGAGAAGAAGAAGAAGAGCAGTGAAGGTGTACCTTAGATAACAGCCGACGAGCAATGACGACCGACGAATGACCACTGAAAAGCGACCGGGTCTTCTCTATTTCTCTTTTGTTCTTTAGTTCTCTCTCTCTTCTGTTCTAAATTGATTTAGGGCAAATATTGTTCTAGTTTTTTTTCCTTACAAATCGACCCCATAGAAGTTTTATAAATTATGAAATTGACCCTGAATGTGTCCTGAAAGTGTCCGAACGTGTCCGGCTGCAAAAAAAAAAAAGAAAAAAAAAAGGGACACTCTCTGTTGCGTGTCAGACACGTATCCACCGTGTGTCCGACGCATGTCTGTGTCCGACACTAGTACGGAACCCTCGGAGAGGTGTCCATGCTTCATAGCTAATACTGCTTTGCTTTTGTGCTATTCTGTTTCCCATTCAAATAGTTTGGATCCACTTCTTCTAAAAATGTTTATGCCATTGCTGTCTCTACCTGCTTTTCTCACTGTAGTGTGTTCTTTCCCCAATCTCTCTCAAAAAAGGCATAGAGAAATAGTGATAAAAGAAATCAAAATAAAAGAATCCTACACACTTTTACTTTTCCTGTTGTATGATAATTAATGTTCTCTTTTATGTGCTCGCTCTGCAAATATTCTTTGCTACCTTGTTGGTGGTATGTGAATGCAAGAAAAATGTTTATTTTACTGATATTACATCTCATCTGGGTGGTTGTGTAGACTAACTGTGCTTGTGCCGGGACAGTGAGGCCCTGTAATAAGGAGCATTGTGATTATATTTCTTTTATGACAGGGATCTGTGGTGAGTCCAAATGTTGCTGACTTTGCAATGTTGTGGTCAGGATACAGAGGGATTATATGAAGCTATGGAGAAAGCAATTGCTAGAAATGAGGTAACTAATTTGTTTCCATTCTATGATTAATTGCCCCTCCACCCAAATGTGCTCGAGTTTATGGGCTTTCTCAGACCAAATTCAACGAATGGTGGTAGCTAGTGGCAACTGAATTCAGTATTTGAGTATTGACTTGCTTAAAAGTAGTTACATTGCTGTATGCTTTGATAGCTTTCCTGTTGGATTGAAACCATAAGTAGGAAGGACCTGCTTCTTGAGAGAAGGTAGGCAGGTCCATCTTAGTGGAAAAGGAAAGAATTTTAATGTAATTTATTTTTCCAGTCATTGTACTTTTACTTGCATTATATTTTTAACTTCGTTTTCATAAAAATGGATTTCTTAGAAGACAGTATATTGTGCAGTGAGAATATGCCCATTGAAATATCTCAACCTATGACATTATGTTTCCAGTTTTGTGGCACAAATCACAATTCACATCTACCAAAAGTTGCTGGCCATCAGGTGCCATAAAGGCACTTTAACGGCTGTCATGGTTGAGATTTTCAAATTGCCCACTGTAAAGGTGGTTGTAGGCTTATAAGTTATAACGGGCACTTGCTTTTTTGGAGAGTGCTGAAACCTCTACTTAATGGTGTCAATGTTTTCGGCCACCATTTACACATGTTGCACAATGGTTAATTGAACAGAACACAATGACCCACACAATATGTAAATGGATTGTCTTAAGACCAAGGTTTAACATTCTGGCCTAGGTCTTAAGACCATTTTTTAACATTCTCTGAAAAAATATACAGGGATCATGGTCTGGGTCTTCACAAATTCAATCAGCAGTGGAGAAAGCATTAGTGTCACAAGGAAAATCTGGTGATTGGGAAATAGATAGAAGATTATTGAAGATAGGAGAAAGAATTGCATCTGGATCCTGTGGAGACTTGTGAGTTGGGATTCGTTTTATGGAATTGTTACTTGTATCTACTGTCCATGCCTGCATTCTCATTCTCTCTCTCTCAAACACCTTTTTTTCTTGTGTCTTTAAAAAGGTATCGGGGAGTTTACCTTGGTCAGGATGTTGCCATTAAGGTCCTTAGATCTGAACATCTAAATGATGCTTTGGAGGATGAGTTTGCTCAAGAAGTAGCTATCCTAAGGTAAAATAATAAACAGCTGTTACTATGCAGACCATAATGTAGTTCATATCTAAGATTAACAACTCATGCATTGATGATTTTTCTTGCTAGAAAAACAACATGGAAGTTCCCAAATATATAACTGTGCTTTTAAACAAATAAAACATAAATTTTAGATTTTAAGTGGTCAATTTCTTGCTATATATTGTCCTTCAAGCTTCCATGATGTGTTTATGCAAGGTAAAAAGCAAAAGGAGTTGATAAATTGAAGGCTTTGTTTATGAAATTCTGAACATGAATTTATGTTCGATCCAGTTTGGTATTGTTTTCATTTTTGGCATTTTTTCTTTACATTTTTGGAAACGAAAACATTGAAAAGTTCTAAAACATCCGTTGTTTTCATATTGTTCCATATTTGAGTGAAACGGTTTTGAAAAGTTCAAGAAAAAAATTTGAAAGCGTTTCCTAAAAAGGGGTTTCTTTCGAAAACAACCATTGTTTTCAAATCGTTTCATTTTTGAGTGAAAACAGTTTTTAGAAGTTTGGGATAAATTTCCAAAAACAATTTACCAAACAAATTTTTTGTGTCATTTTTTTTTTCATTTAATTTTTTTTAATATATATATAAATGTTTTTGAGAACAACAAACAAAAATTTAAAACGATACCAAATGTTTCATTAGAAAGCTTACATCTTCTTGTGTTCCTATAAGGCTCTTCTACTCACAAAGATCTTAATATTTACATAAATTTGATTATGCTACATGTTAACTAATGATTCACTCAACATAAAATTGTAACAATATAAATTATGTAAGATCCAAAGAGTTGAATTTCAATATCTAATATGTAAAAGTTTAAGTCATCTTTCAGGCCATATGAACGAGAGCAGTTTTTTGATTTTTTCTGCTCATGTTTCTTAACTTGACGATTTTGTAATTTGTACACTTGCTAGTGCTTTGCGGAAATTTATGTCAAAACTAGCATGCACTGCCAAATAACTTAGCACGTTATCTCAAATGAGAATATTTCAGTAAGTCCCTTGTTCTTTTCTTTTCATATTAGCTCCACCTGAGAGATCAGGATATAAGAGAGAGCCAATAAAAAAAATTAATTAAAAAAAAAAGGTAATTGAGAGAAACCATGTCGCTCTTAAAGTTTTGCAAAAAAAGAGAGTTTGGTGGTGGTGGTGGTGGTGGTGGGCTGGGGGAACACTCCTTGAAAACCAAGTCAACCTAAATTTATGTCATTTCAGTTTAGGGTTGTGGAGAAACAAACCAAACCAGACCAAGTTGCATCCCTAAATTATTTACAGGCGTTTGATGACTCCAAACCGCCTCTTTCTGTAATTTCATTCATATTATATGAAGAGGTATCTCCGAATTTTGGTTAGGTGGTATCACAAAGCAATGCAATTGGCTCCTTTAACAAGGTGACATTGCAAAGTATCTTCTTGGGTTGGAATCTGCATTGTCTTGCCATAAATGCATGTTTGTGTATCGCTTGCGTAAGCAGTGAGCGTCTGAAAGCCAAAATACATTCATACCATGCATGGGTTTCTAATTTTTTCTGGTTAATCCAACAACTCAACGATTCTGTTAACTTTTTGGCTACTGTACTACGATATTCTTATAGTTCTAATACGGGGATCAATATCCTTGCTGTTTTTTGTGTGCAGGGAAGTCCAACATAGAAACGTTGTCCGATTTGTTGGTGCATGTACAAAAGCTCCTCATTTATGCATAGTAACAGGTACACAACCTTCTACAAGGTCACCTTTTTTGCTTTCGTCCTTCATAATTGGATATCAGTTGGTGCACTGGTATGAAGGAATGAGCCAATTCAAGTTGAAGGTCTCAAAAGGACTAGAGGGATGTCAAAAAGGACTTGGGTTGCGGCCATGAGAAACGACATGATTGTCTTTTATTCATAACCATAAATATGATTTTACATGGAGCTGACTAGAAACAACTGATGCTTGTAGCTGACCTTGACCCTCATAATAGGATTAAGCTTGTTGAATTAGGTAAAGTAGCAGAGGTAGCCTTGGGTGGTGGAGAGCTGAGCCTTTGCTTCAGTGACAGCAATGGGCTTTGAGAAGGTGGTGCTAACGGAGACTGCAAGTGCAGTTGGAGATCCACTATGGATGTTTAACAATAGCCCTTGAATTACAGTTCAGTCTATAGGCAAAGACTCAGTTGGGATAGCTAATCAGCTGAGGCACTGATGATAAATTGACTTGAAAAATGAAGCGACCATCTATCATGAGGATTATCTTATGATTTGTGTTTCTGAGTTTACATGCATGCTAGTATTGCAATAGATAAATAGCTTTCATTTCATGACTAAATCTTCTTTGTTGATGTTGTCTTATGTATCATTACAAGTTTCATTGAAGTCGACAGCTTCTCACAGTTTTTAACTGCTGGAAATAGTTTACGTACATATTTTCCTGAAATGTTTGTTTATCTATTTTTGTGCAATGATTCTTCTCTCCCACTGAAAGGGAATTTGTCTTCTGGTCTTGCTTGCAGAGTACATGCCTGGAGGAAGCCTTTATGAATATATACACAAGAATCACATTGTCTTGAATCTCCCTCAATTGCTTCAGTTTGCAATTGATGTCTGCAGTGGAATGGAGTACTTGCATCAAAACAACATAATTCACAGGGATCTTAAGACAGCAAATTTGCTTATGGATAATGACAAAGTAAGTATTTTCCAGCATCATGATTAAATTTCTGTTGTTATCTCCTAAATACCAAGTATATAAATTTTCAGATGTTTAATTGTTCTGTTTTGCTGTATGCTGAAAGATGATTTACCTTTAAATCAGAACAATGGGTTCGTGAAAACTATTACTGTTCATTACATAAAGAGTTATTATGTCTAACAGGTATAGCAGGATTCATTTGTGGCTGTTGGCTTTCCTAGAGTTAATAAGTAGAAGTTTATGGAAATCTAATTTCACCATGTAAAAGTAAGACTGAGGGACTGTAGCATAAGTCACATCTTACAGAAAGTCTGCATGCATGGTCACAGTTTTGGTTTATTGTATCTTCAATTCCAAATGGCAATCTCATGTTCGCATGTATCACTATTCTTTTACCTTTTTTACTTATTTTATTGTTCTATGATTCCCTCTCTCTGTCTCTCTTATTATTATTATTTTGGCTAGGTTAATGTAGGGGGTTCGAAGGGTTATGCTAAAGATGTTCTAAAAATATGACTGAAGGGTATATCATGATAACATTGGATTTTTTGGGTTAAAAATTAAAGGATTTCTTGGTATTATCTTGAGTTTAATTGGGCTTAGTTTTTCTATTGTTGATGATCTTTATATCCTCATATCTCCCAAGTAAATTAAGGCTATGTTTGGGTGGTAGGAATTAAAGACAGAATGCGATCCTATTACCAGGAATATTGATAATAATAAGATTCTGAGGTTAATGAAATTCTAGTGTTTGGATTGATTAAGAATTTTCTAATGGGAAATGGTAAAATTTTAAATAATGTGTGCCCATGTTTCTTTTTCACACTTGAGTGCTTCAAATATGTGAGATTCTCGTGGGGTTGTGCAAGAATGAGGTTCCGCTTAGTGTTGTAACCCCATTTCACCTTAATAAGGTAACTTAGAATCACATTTCACGTCATACATGCAGTCAAACGGAATAAAGGAGACATGAAATGAGATTCCTGTTATCCACGCATAAACATAGCCTAAGATTGATAGACCAGCATGCTTCCTTGCACTTCTACTAATGCTATTTGTAGTTTATGAATAATAACTTGACATATGTGACGCGAATGGTTTATAGGCACTAACAACATTAATGATTTGTGACGTTTCTTAATCTATGATTTCTGTAATTGTGTCTCAAGGTTGTTAAGGTAGCAGATTTTGGCGTTGCTCGGTTCCAAAATCAAGGGGGTGTGATGACAGCAGAGACTGGTACATACCGATGGATGGCCCCTGAGGTTGAACTCTCTTTCGTTTGCCTATGTCTTCTACTTCATTAGCTTGATATGGTTGAAGATGAGGGATTGTGTGTGGGTGTTATCTTTAAAATTTCTTTTTCTACCTGGAGCTCGGAATCCTAATGTTAATTCTCATTGTAAAAGCTTTCCTGAGTTATCTGTTGACTAAGTTAGCCCCCTTACCCAGTTGCTTGCAATAGATCCTTGTATTCTGCAATGATTGGTCGACATTGATAATTCGCAACAACGCTAAATGGGGAATAATTATGAGAATGGGTGATGGCAGTGTTTTAGAACCTGGACTGGACCAGGCAGTATGTAGTAAAATTGGGAGCGGGTCAAATGGTCCAGGCAATTTCATAAAAATCATTCTATTTTGAGACTTGGATTGATGGTTTAATCGTTGATTAGTGTAAACTGTTCGTGCATTGATGGAGCTGCATGGTCCAATTAAATTTTTATATGTGACGGCTTTTAGGGCATGTTCAACCATACTGTACTGATTGTTTTTGAATCTTGGCTCACTTTTTAGTGTGATTGTCTATGAAGCACAAACACTTTAAAATAGGGGCCATAGCAGTGTCTGACACGGGGACATGTAGGAGATACGCCGAGGACACTTGTCTAAATCTAGATACGTCAAGGGAGACGGGGACACGGCAGGGACATGCCATTTAATTAATTGATTTTTTTTTTTTTTTGCAGGGAACACGCATCTCCAAATATGGATGATATATTAATTTGTTTAAATGTAGTGGTTTATATATATATATATATTGAATTAATGTTAGTTTTTATTAATTTTGATTGTTTGGTAACATAATATTAATCTA